AGACATCCATAGACTGACCTTCCAGAGCCTGTTTAAGGCGACGGTAGCAACATCAACTCTCTTTTCTACACGGCGAGCCTAAAGTGCGCAGAATGCCGCCCGGTTCACTTATGAGACATTTTAGATTAAGGTCAGCACCGTACATATCAGGCAAGGGCGCAGCCTCACACAAGTTCAAGTTCATAAAAAATCAGAGCAATTAACCAGCGGTCAATCTGGATTCAATTAAGCGAATGCCATTGAGGTCATCTACTACTAACACAGTATACGCTAGCGATACATCATATACGCCATATGTTGTCTGCCTCAGCATATATAACAGCTGTCTGTAACATCATATACTCAACAAGACTTTATGTGGCGACCAAACCCGCGGACTGCATTCAGGCATTAAGTCGCAGTCGCTTATGCCTACACATGTAAAATGGGGAGCTACGTATATACATGTTCAAATACTCATTCTGGAATAACTTTGATAGGTTTCATTCATAATTTTGAGTATCCACTGTAACACTCCTTTCAAAAAGGTTTATTCGATGTTTAGGGCATCATTATTCAGTAGTTGAGACCTCAAAGTACTATACCTACCTAGAACGAACGAACCCAAACAAATACGATCGCAAAAAACTTCACCGTCATCTCTCATAGACGAAATGACTGATATGGCAGAGCCTATACAGAACTGCTACTGATCTCTCTGCTCTACAAACTATTTCCAGCAGATTGTATTTGTTTACAAACAATATAGAGAAATTGAAAAACATTCACGGTTTTCATTCACTCGAATTCGTGATTCTGATTTTTTTCCATTTCTCTAGCATGCACAAGAAAAGGACATTCAGAACCTGTCTTTCTGTAGCGCAAGAATAGTATACAGCAAAAATAGTGACATTGTGAGTGACCACAGAAATTGCATGCTGTGGCCAGCAGCAGTGCCAAAAAATCAGCATATGGTAGGCAACCCAGTACTACTAGTTATTCAGCGTCATGAATAAACAAGTAAATAAGGAATTACATTACTCGATCAAGATCAGAGAAGAAATCGAAAGATATGACGGAATGAGCGCCCGAAATATGATCTCACAACTCCATACTACTGACACTCGTCCTATAGACGTGTCGAATAGCTCGCAGCTCCCTTCCCTTCATTAATCAAGACGGTAAACGTTTGAATAGCCAAAATAAAGTTATGCATAGCTAATTATCTTTATTTAAAATTCATAATGCCTCCGTCGAATGAATATAACCGAAAACCGTGCAAAATTATATCCCTGAGGATGATCTACGTTCCAACACTAACATAGTTAGAAACACTAACATTGTAATATGGTATCGATTAAATTAAATTAAAACACGTATTTGGTAAATCAAAACTAAATAGGCAACAAAGGAGCAACTGTCCCACTGCAGGGCAGATATTGGCCCGTGCGCTGTACCGCCGGGCGACAGTTGCACTGGGATGCAGAGTGCGGCTGTACGTTGTGCTGACAGTTTTCGTCGGTAAGTTACTTGCAAATAACTGTTTTAGGCCAAATAAAAGGATTTTTTATAGGGATAGTTTAAATTCAAGTTTAGACCATTAGTTTTTGAAATGAAATATTGACACGCGGTAACTTGCAATGGTAACTAGTGCACAGGGCATCGTGCCCATGCGTGTCACCCGGCAAAGCGCCCATGCATGCGTGGGCTCAATACCTCGCTGTGAAAGCTTGCGTTGTACATCAATGGATTTGTCTCAATTAGCTCTTCATAACTATGACTAGCTTTTTAAATTTTTTTTAAATGATAATAAACTATATTTTATAATTAGTATATAAATTATATTTTGAATTGAACAATTTTTAATTTGCCGCCTCAAAGCAGCGCAGCTTCTAGTTTATAAATATTTATGACTCCATATTTTTTTACAGTTACAACGCGGTGCGCAAGTATAAAAGGAAGACCAATACAACCAACTATTCTCAAACTGAACTCCAAAATATATTCAAGGAAATTAAGAGCGGCAACTCGCTGAAGGACACAGAAATAAAAAAAAATACATATCAACTAAAGGAACAAGGAGTCGGAAATGAAAGCAGGCAACAATCCTTACTTCAACACCGTCAAAACTGTCTTCAAAAATAGAGTGCAATCGAAAAAAGAAAAGGAAAAGTTAAGAGCATATGCATTCTACAGGGGCCGAATCCTGTTCGATAAAAGTTAGAGTTCAGAAGATGATGAATGGCCATGCTTGGTATGGTTTGTAAATAGCCGTTTTCGGGAAAAATGTATCCGCTGTGCGGCGTGGGCTTAAAATGGGTTCATCAAGAGCTAGTGTACAGATAATGGTAGGAGGTATATTTGTCAGAATTCTGATAGAGAATAGGATCACCGATAAAAATAAAAAATTTTCACAAGCAACTGGATGAACTATGTATATGCTTTTCGTAGAATTGTTTTCATCATTCGAAGTTTCTCCTGGTCACTTATATATAATTTTTTTCTAGGCTTGAGGCTATATTTTATCAAGTGAAAGATGTACATTTTTATGTTAAGGGAATATTTTTTCACGTCAGTGAAAGATTTTTAAAGCCAAAAATATTTTTTTATGTCAAGTGAAGGAAATATTTTTTTATGTTGTTGATAAATGAATGAATGGACTATTTTTTATTACATTTCCTCTATATGAAATGTGAATATAATTAACATGTGAATATTGTTAAATGGTGTTTTATTGACTTTAAAATAAAAAAGGCAACTAGGGTAAAAGGCCCAGGAGGTGGGCGCCTTGCCCCAAGCCCATGGGCCCATTGCCTCAAGTTTGGGGCAATTAATGGGATTTGGATACTTTCAAGAAAATAATTTTCCATTAAAAAAATAAAATACATCTATGGACGTCTAATTCACATAATATATTCCTCATTAGAATTAACTTTAGTAAAAAAACATAAACGACTATGTATCAATCAAAACTTAATCGAAAATTAAGTTTGAAAAAACGGGTGGGCCGATTGACCCGTGATAACCTACATTCTTTGTGTATAAATTCATAAAATAAACATGAATAGTTGTATATTTCAAACAAACTATTTCAGCCCATGTAAATTTTAAAAGGAATTGACGATTTTTCAGTGTAATTTCAAAGTAATTTGCACACAATTGAGCACGAGTAAATAACTAAGCACAAGGCCGCGACCAGCTCATCACGACTATCCCTGGCTACCACCACCGTTAACATCAACAAGGGAGTAAGAGTCGCTTTCTTGATTTGAAAAAAAAAACAAGCATAAATCAGCCTAGGTCCGACCAGTCATGCATTCAGAAGAGATATGATGCGGCTGCTCAAGATTCATAGATATTTTATTGATAGACCAAATAATCCCCACTGATGAACCTTACAATGATACGTGAAAGAGTCCACAATAGATCTCAGAATTTAGGACGCTCCTAATCTAATATAATTGTGCACTAAAAATTTTCTGCGAACAAACCACCTTTCACCAAATAGCACATGTTTCCGTATAACTTCTATTTTTATTGAGAGATAAATAATTAAAATGGGCGGCAGGGCAGAGACCAGTCTTGCGGTACAGCCACCAGTTCCTGCCGTATTATAACTACTCGCACACTCCGTTACTTGCGCGCCATTATGCTCCTGCTAGCTCCAGGTCGAAAATTCCCTTGTGCTCCTGCTAGCTCCAGATCGTAAACTCCCTTGTGCTCCTGCTAGCTCCAGGTCGTAAACTCCCTTGTGCTCCTGCCAGCTCCAGGTCGTAAATTCCCTTGTGCTCCTGCAAGCTCCAGGTCGTAAACTCCCTTATGCTCCATCCAGATCCAGGTCGTAAACTCCCTTATGCTCCTACTAGCTCCAGGTCGTAAACTCCCTTATGCTCCTGCCAGCTCCAGGTCATAAACTATCAACACTAAGGCGCATGGTACAAATATTAATCTATCAACATTAAAGGAATGTCCGGCAATACCATTAGTTTCTAGCAACGCTTTAGTTTTCAGTAACTGCGTGACCTCAACTCCACGCTAACTAAGCATTCGAACATAACTGTGAGCAATGGTTATAATTCAGAAGTTTTCAATTATCAATATTGTACGAGTTATAGTATAGAACAAGAGGAAATAGTAAGTACTATTATACAGTTCCTACCGTTTTATTTGCTCACTTGTTATTCGGTGGAGAAAGTTTGGCGCTCTTCAGTGCTAGCCATAATTGATATACTTAGCGTTCCATTGACAAAAAATTAATAGCAATTATAAAACATATATTGTGAGCAAATTTCCGATTACCATCCACATAATAAATTCCTATTAGCGAAAGAAAGTCACGCGGAGGACTACAGTTAATCGATAGTCAATACTACATATACAGGGTGACCCCAAAAAAGTTGCTAAAAGTAAAGGCCTATAACTCAAAAAGTATTAAACGTAGAAAGATGAAATAAAAATCACATAATATATCCCTGTATAATAAAAACGTGAGAGTCAACAAGGGAGATACTAGTGAAAGGGATGCCATTACGGAGATAATTATTTAAGTGAGGACGGTCAGAATAAGAGGATAAAAGAGGATGGTCAAAATAAAAATAAAAAATTACGAAAGACAACAATTGCGCGCAAGTGATGACGTAATTTGATATCTTAATGCATTGGCTTTTATTTATTGGATGAATAAAATGAAACTTCACGTTCGAGACAGTACACTAATACTAGTTGATAAATAATTTTGGTCGAAAATGAATTTTGAATAACGTTTGAATATTTCCAACGATACGAGGTATCGATGCATCGTTGACATTCCACATTACATTACGGGGGATTCAAATCATAGCCGCAGTAAATTCCATGCAAGCGTACAAGATGAATAAATCTGACACTTGTAGCACTTGAAACAAGTAGCAGCTTATCACGCTGCTTGTGGAACTAAACTGAAACATGCTTACAATGTTACACCATCAAGAGTGAACACTGAGCCCACTTATATTAAGAATAAATCATCAAATTTATCTTACCTTGAGCAAGGATGAAGCAGCAGGGCATCATCAGTAGCATCAGTAGTCTTGTAGCAGCAGCCATGATCGATTTTTTGAACTTGTTCAATTAATAATAGTAATCTAATAAAGTCATTGTTTGAAAGAATTGCCAGCTATACACAGTAGAAAGTAGCAGCAAAGGATTTAGATTTCAGGATTAAATATCTGGGAAAAAGAAAAATTTTGAAAACGATATAGCTTTCCACATAATGAGACACTGTACATCAATGATCTTTCTTAAAATTTCAAACTTTCCCTTCTTCCTGACGTTTTAGTACGGGTGTAATAACTTGAGGTTAATCAAGTAATCATAATCATTCATTTGCTTGTGATGATGCATTGCTGTATACGTGAGTTCCGCTGCATTTTAGCTGCAACAAACGTGACATACGATATTCATAACGCTCAGGTAGACGTAGGTAGATGTGCATAGAGTGGTAGGTAGATGTGCATAGAGTGGTAGGTAGATGTGCATGTAGTAGGTAGATGTGCATAGAGTGTAAGGTAGGTGAACATTTCATTTCAAGTTTATGGATGTCATTTAAACAGTGTTCAGTATTAGTTTTTGCAGGCAAACAAAGCAGGAGTTACCGAAAAACTGTCAATTTAACGCAAGCGTGACGTATTGTTTACTGTATGGTTAAATAGTTCACATTGAATCCAAGAGTAAGACTCAAACAGAATCCTACGTGAGAAATTTAATTTAAAAGGCACACCAGATTTGCCAAATAAAAACCCAGTCGTTCAAAAACTTCCGTCCAGAAATAAGATCACTTGTAACTCAAAATTGTATTTTCTAACGAGTCTTAAAATGCTGGCATATGGAGGATTGTTTTAACATTTATTTGCTATGTGCTTAATTTCTCTTACAGACCAGTTCCGCACCAGGACCACAATGCACACTCGATCAGTCCGCTCCTGAAAATAATGGAGGAAAATATTTTAACACATGACTGAGTATATCAATTATCACATGACATGGACAACACAAATGGCTTCACAGTCTCACGCAACGAGTATATCGACGCTCGATGTTCAGTGTGTTGCTACGTGACTATAACGTCGTTTAATCATGTCCACACACTACGTATGCTCTCAAAAACAAACAATCGCACAGATCTCTCAGAAAATAAGAACTTCATGCATGCTATAATATAATTTAATACTAATCGAGAAATAATTCAACGAGTACGTGGAATGTGGAGAGTTCTTACATGGTCCTGAGAAAACGCATTTAGGAAGTCGCAAGAATCATGTGCACAGATAGTATAATTTAAAATGAGTAAGTTGATTATTCCAGAGGAAAAAAACTTAATTGCTTCTCTAGTCTGGACAATTGACGAGAATTGTGTTTTTAATGCTGAAATATTCTCACAAATACAAGGTAAGCAGAAATAAAATGCCAAAAATACTGATTTTTAGAACATCGGAGGAGGCTCACTCCATATAACATCAACATCAAAATGCAACATCCCAGCACGCTTACTTTGATACCACCAACGTCGAATCCCATTATTTATTCAGAATTGCATGGCACAATTCATTATAACAGAGCGGAAATTGTTTTGACGGTATATGCAAAATTTAGAATAGATTTTCGGTAAATTTATTCAAAAAATTGTTTTACGAAATTGTTTCACGACGAGTTTCTGAAATTTGGAAATAAAAATGTGCAGTGCAGGGGCCGCGGGAGCGGCGTTTCGTCTCAGTTTGATGGATCTTCTGTCCAATATTTCAGTACGGGGAAAAATAATCGTCACGAGTCAATAAAGATGTCATTTAATTTTGCTTTTTCAATAATATGTTTTTGTTTATAAAAAACTGACCAATTATGCATTCAAAAAAAAAGATCACAACTTAATACGCATTGTTTTTATGTAGCCCAGATTCAAACAGTTCGTCAGCCGTATGTCTCTTTGCCCCAGTCAGTAAGATGTGCCGTGAGCGTTGAAATGTACACAAGAATTTAAAATTTGAAACAAGATTAAATTAGGAGCAGAGAGACTAATTTTCATGACGAAATTTGCCTAAAACGCTAATCATTTTGAGTGATGTTGCTAGGTTTTGAAGCCTTAAATAGAAAACTTTTAAAAACGTATCAACTCTCTGCTGCTTGTTGGCCTCTAATCAGCGATTTAAGCCATAAATGCACATAGTTTCGAAAAATTTTCCAGTGTAAATGAATTTTCCTAATTACACCAGTTTAGGGGATGAGTAGCATAATTGTCAAATATTCTCAAAATTCTAAACTACTAGATAAAACGCAGTTATAAGAAATGAAAATTTTGGTTATTTACCACTAAATAGTCGATATTTTCCTACGAATATTCTACGTCTGCGATTTCAATTCGCACCAAGAGTCACTGGACGCGAACTCAAAGAGTACGAGAAGGACGCTTGATGTAGACGTCGTTCAAGTCCGGTCATAATTACTGCACGAGACAATATAAATGCAAGGCAAACATCAGTAAAAAATAACGTGTATACGAGTGCAGGGTGGCGAGTCTGATGGCTTTAACAGAGCACGCTTCCTCCGCGGCTGTTAACACAAGTCGAGCGCTCTCATCGTTTTAAGACACGCATGTTGTGTCGCGTGTGCGTTAAGAAGGTGTGTTTATAGAGCGTCTGTCAGTGATAGAAAATAGAGCAAGATGCCCCAGCCTCGAGCTGTCTCAAGTTCTGACAGATCCCGACCATAGAATTGTGGACCGTCCTTCGGGAAAATTTTTGATGCAATTTTTCGTTCCACGCTACAACTGGACTAGAAGGATCACTAGCTCCGCATGAACTGAAAGAACCCAACACTCAACGAATTTTCTGCAAGACTCGCGTGAATGTTGCTAACTTCCTGGTCACAAAACCAACAGCCAAATTCAATCACACTGCTGAACAAAATTTAGTTCTAATTGTCTAAGCACTATAAGCAAGAGGAAGAAGTACATAACGTACTCAGCAACGGCCGACGTGCATGCAACTGTCGCCGCGCGTCGACTCATTGTATCTATGGTGTCAATCGAATGGAGAATTTCAGATCAAATGCCGTTGTAGGAATTTCCCTTTACTGTTTCATCTGAATTGAAACAAAGACAGGATAAAATTAACATACGTGATATATTTATAGTGAAGACTTATGATTTTATTTTATATTTATTTCCATGCTACGAAGTATACCCTGGATTATTAATTTATGTACCTACGGCAAATTAAGCCGCGAGCGGTTAGAACTGATGAAATTTATAGCGATCACCAAAAATTACAAAAATACATGCATATAAAAATAACATATACAAATAGAATAATAAAGAATATAAACACACGTTAGGTTGCAACGTTCAAGGCGAAACGTTTGATAAAGCCAAGTCGTGCTTTAGTCAGATGAATATACATAAGAAAACGTATAAAAGCTAATATAAAATAAGCTCAAACCATAAATACTTCAAAAATAAACTGGTTGCATTGAGTAAAATTTACAGTAATCCATTACATTATCTTTTACTGTACCTATATTAACACAACTGTAGCTCTAACAAAGTTATTTCACGCACGTCAGTAATTAATGAAACCCCCGCGATAAAAAACATAAAACACATAACCTACAGTAACCTTGCACGACACCCATAGCATGTCGCTCGAGGCAGCTCGCGCTCTCATTTTACGGCGACATTGGCGCAGATTGTGGCTAAAAAAGTCACTTAATCCGACGCTACATAAAACTGCGAAAAACTGGACTGGCTGCTTAGACTAAGCCCCCACACATGCTGTATCAGGCATACGAGAAATACCGAGGGCTCAGATCTCAACATGAAGTCCAGGAAATGAAACGATCACATGAAACAAGTGTCTTCTCAAGGAACGAATGAAAAATCGCACTCACTGTGTGATGGCAAATGATGAAATGTTTTTCACTTGAAAATGTTTCCCCAGCTGAAATTAAAAAATATATTAAAACAGTCTTAATGATGAAATTACAAAAAATCCTCCTTCCTTATGCTAAAACACATGGGATAGTCACGCTTAAAATTCGATACGATAACCAAGGCGTTATTGGATACGATCGAAGAAGGGAAATGGTTGAGCTAAACTCCTGAATGATCAAATACCAGGCTCGGATGTCATACTCATACGTATACTTGATGTTCTCCAGCTTTTAATCACCCAGTCACGACAAATAAATTCTTTAAAGTACTTCAGTTGTTAAAAATTTCACGTTAGTTCAGAATCGAAATTAGAACAAATTTAATTTAAATTTAATCATTACAGCGAATGATTTTGTGGGTTCACAATCAGAATCATGTCGACGCAATTGTTTAAATATATTATAGATTAAAGAACTGCGGCATGAGACACGTTAAGACAACGCATTAATGCTTTGTTTACGATAACCACATTTCATTCCATTGCTTACAATTCCACAAAGTGAGTACATGAGCTAATCAAAACTGTCTCTAATACCTTGAAAATTTACATCACAGATAAATGAAGACTTTCAGAGTCATTTCACTTGTAGACTTGGCTCATGCCAATTACACACTGAATGAAAGATTAACACAATTGATTTTCTATCTGTCTATACTACATGAAGAGTAGCAAGTCTTCGAACACCCAACACACAAGTTATTTGGTGTTGTAGACGTTGTAATTAGCAGATATTATGCGACTGAATCAACTTATCTACGTAGGTATCTGGAATGTATTCGGCCATGGTTTCAAGTAGACGATCGCATAAGCTCTTTAATGGGAATCATTACATTTAACGCACCAAGTACTGCCACTGAGTAAACGTTTTGTTTATTGTATCAACTGATCGAGAGAACAACCATATGGCATGAAGGGCACTTAATCTCTGAAAATACCAAATGCCAAATACATAAAACTACGCAGTAGCTACATCAGGTAAATGCCGAAGCTGTAAATTGGACGGTGATGTTCAGCAAGACGCCCTTAAATGTCTTAGTATCCAGGAAATTAAATTGCGAAAAACATATAAGATTTGTGATTATGTTAGAAAACAAGATGCCCAAACGTTAATTGCTGTAGACATTTTTGACCAGGGAAGAGATTGTTCAATAAAATATTCCTGTTACAAACACATAGATTAAATATTTAAATTGAAAGATTCTCGATTAAGCGGAAGTGTTAGAGATTTCCGCGCTAACA